GTCTTGGTGGCCTTAGGATCGCATCTCTGCTTTTTGCAGATGATGTGGTCCTGTTGGCTCCATCAAGTCGGGACCTACAGCTCTCACTGGAGCGGTTTGCAGCCGAGTGCGAAGCGGCTGGGATGAGGATCAGTGCCTCCAAGTCCGAGACCATGGTCTCTCACCGGAAAAGGGTAGAGTGCCTTCTCCGGGTCGGAGCGGACGTCCTTCCCCAAGTGGAGGAGTTCAAGTATCTCGGGGTCTTGTTTGCGAATGGGGGTAGGGAGCGTGAGATCGATAGGCGGATCGGTGCGGCGTCTGCAGTAATGCGGGCGCTGTACCGGTCTGTCGTGATGAAGAGAGAGCTGAGCCTAAAAGCGAAGCTCTCAATTTATCGGTCGATCTACGTTCCCACCCTCGTCTATGGTCACGAGCTTTGGGTAGTGACCGAAAGAACGAGATCGCGGATACAAGCGGCCGAAATGAGTTTCCTCCGCAGGGTGGCTGGGCTCTCCCTTAGAGATAGGGTGAGAAGCTCGGCCATCCGGGAGGGGCTCGGAGTAGAGCCGCTGCTCCTCCACGTGGAGAGGAGCCAGCTGAGGTGGCTCGGGCATCTGATCAGGATGCCTCCTGGTCGCCTCCCTGGGGAGGTGTTCTGGGCTCGTCCCACCGGGAGAAGACCCAGAGGAAGACCCAGGACCCGCTGGAGGGACTATGTGTCCCGGCTGGCCTGGGAACGCCTCGGGATCCCCCCGGAGGAGCTGGCGGAAGTGGCCGGGGAGAGGGAAGTCTGGGTTTCCCTGCTCCGGCTGCTGCCCCCGCGACCCGACCCCGGATAAGCGGAGGAGAATGGATGGATGGATGGATGGATCCGGTTAGCTTGTAACTTGTTTTTTGTTTCAACAGCATTGTAAAGTCTTGTTTCCTTTCAAGAAGCATCGAAATCAAAATTTGTGTTTTTATCAGCAGGTATAATAGAGTACATTAATTCCTCATGAACAAGAAGACAATGTGGCCAATATGCAAATTCTACAGCATAAAATCCCCTCGGGATGTCAAATATGCAGTCATATAGGCTACAGGTTGTACTAAGTGATTAAATCTAATTGCAGAGTAATGTAGCCAATACTTGCAAAGCATGAGGGAAGAGAGTCTACAGGGGAAAAGAGTGTAATTATGACATGATTACCAGCCCTCTTGATTGACAGGGCAAGATCCTGTGGAGTGATTGGTTGGTGCAGTTGAACAGAGGAAGGTTATGGAACAGAATGCATATGATTTGTGGACCGTACAAACAAAGCAAATGAAAACAAGTGGGGCAGAAAACAATTTTTCTCCAATCCTTATTATAACTTTCCAACTGATAAGGACTTATACACTCTCTGTCCATGCAGAAAGATGTCAAAGCATGAAACATGATAACTTACCCTTGGAAAAGGCATCCAAATGGATCCATGCGTGAAACCGAAGTTTGTGAGAGAAGAGTTATGTTTGCTGTAAGAAAAGGGCAAAGAAGGAGTTGAATAAGAGACGGAAAGTGTGTTATGACAAACCGGCTTCCACAGATGCAGGCTCTTTCTTTATGGGAGAGCTATCAAAGTATCCTGGTATTGATCTTTGGGAACAGAGATCGATATCAACCCATGGCATTTTAGTATTTGTTTCCTAGCAGCCTACCATCTTCTGAGTTGTGTGTTCTTGATATCTAAACTGGGTGTGTGTAGATGTTTCTGTACATATTTCTGACTTAAATTACCATAAGTGCATTTATGTATCTGTATGAGCTTGTGTGGGTTAAACTGGTGGCAGCTTGTACTTTAGCTAACATGCTATGAATATATAGGAGTGTTTGAGTTTGTGTCATTGCGTGTGTCTGTCGGAGTAGAAGCTGACAGGTCCTATAATCGTGACAGGATGCAGGCACCTCCCATGAGGCCATGCATACTGACAGCAGCTGGCCAAGAAGAAGAACAGCTGCTGATGGGCTTCCAGTAGAAAGAGCTCACACGGTAACTCCCCTTTATCTATCCGCCCCATTTATGTACGCATGTTCTTTATTCCCTGTAATTCCTAATTATTAATTTCAGTTTTATATCTAACAAATGAACCTATTCCATTTTCACTCATAATCTTAATGGAAACATGTTTCTGTTCAGTTCAGTTCAAATGATATTGCTGCACTGGAATAATTCATTCTGGTGGAATGTTAAATTGCTTAACACATGTATTACCTGCCTTGTATGAAAACACATTAACCAGTCGTAATATCTAATGACCCAGGTCTTCATCTGACCTCACACAGCCAGGATTTTCAACATAAAGACATACAAATGACAAAAAGCACATGTCATCTGGGGTTTTAATACTCTCCAACATTTACAGTTTTCAGTTCAAAATCTATTTCAGTTTTATTCATATGATACCATTTATTCCAGAGTTTTGGAAAAGGCAGTTATGTTAAAGCTATTCCAAATTAACTAAATAAGCTGTAATCCAAATATAATCATCCAATTAAAATCCAAATGAGACCAACTCACATTGTGCCTTGATAAGGAAACCAACAGATTGTGAAAAACCCCTTTCACAAGAAAAACACCAGCAGAAGCACACATGGGACAGCAATAAAAAAAAAGATGTGAAGACACTATAACCTGTATAGATAGAGGAAAAAAGAGAGTTAATGGTACGTATAAAGTTCTACAGAGTGAGGGGAGGTGCCCCCAAATCAGTCCAGGCCTATAGCAGCTTAAATATGGGATGGCCGAGGCTCACATGGACATCCCTAAATAAGAGTTTTTTCAAAAAGAGGAAGTTTTCATTCATATTTATTTATACGCACATATATGCGTGACTCACAATTTAAACTTCCAATTTATATTGTTGGAAATGCATGACATTCATCTCTTTAGGAGGTAGGTGTTGACTGTGTTTGGGTCTGGCAGCAGTTCCTCTTGAAGCCTGAAAAGAGGAGAGGACAACTAACAGCTGTTTGTCTGTCTGTTCTACCTACCAGCTACAACACATGCTAACCCTTCTGCCAAGTGTGAAGAATCCCAATCTGAATCCCTCAGTCTGTGTATGCCAGCCGTGCCATCTATTCATTGTAAATTTCCACTTCGTCATTGCCTTCTGTCCAAGTTTGAATTTCACCAGTCACTTGTGGAAGGCCAGTTTTTTATATTGGCTACATTATAGATTACAAAGTATATCTGAATCCTGTGTGGTGTGAAAAAAAAATAGCATTAAAAAAACTGTATCTTTGCACATTAAGGTTTTCCCTTTGAGGCTTGCCGATTCCATTTTCAAGCTAAAAAAACATCTTAGTTCATGTAGATTTATTTCTTTCTTTTATACTTTTGAAAAGAATGAATAATTAAATTAGCATTATTTCCCCACGAGAATCAGTGCTGGATTCTAATTTAGCACCATCTAAATGTGCTGGCACACACCAACACCCACCAATCCACCCACCCATAAGCACACTCAAATTCCCAGGTAATGTGTATATTATTTATTGTGTTTCGGTGCTATTATTTCCGTTTCCTGCCCACACTGTAATGGCATGAAAACAACTAACCGGTTTTTAGCCTCGTGAAATGGGATACAGTTTCTTCTTATTTGTCCAGCAGCTTTTGCCAAAGATGTCTGAAACCAAGAGGAGAGAGTCCCATAGGGGCTTAGCTGAGCCACAAACAGCTGTGCTCTGCCTGCTGCAGCACTGGGGAAGGCTCAGAAATGGTAATGACCACGTTGCACTGTGAAGTTGCAATATGGACACATAAGATGTGCTGTGGATGAACGGACTCTGTTTTAACAAGAAGAAGTTAAACGTTTGAGACAGCTCATGACTTTGGTTTATTTTCTCAACTGAATTCCAAAACAATAAACTGCTTCAAATGATTACTATTAGTTTTGCAGTGCGACACATTTCTGTAGTCTTAAAGTTATACCAAAAACGTAATATTCTTCCTACAGTCAAATACAACCCAAATTACACATTGTGAAATAACACAACAAGAAAAATATCCACAAAGTCAGGGTTTGCCGAGAAAGGCTAAGACTTGACACTTCATTTTGTGATCAGAGTTGCATCAGTTTTGGTCACTGGAAATTGTAGGCATGAATTATAATTTCTCTTCTTTAGCAGTCCATCAGGGTCTGTGCAACCATTGAGCCCAAACACCTGAAAAGCACAGAGATTAAACAAGTCAGTTTGCAATTCTCTTGATTATTTCTCTATCAAGGACAAAAACAAAAAAACAACAACAATTTATTAATAAAACAAGGAGCCAGACAATGTTAGATGTTGAATAACTGTTATCCACAAGTTCAGATTGTAGTGGATGTGGTACGTTTAAAATCAATCAGTATGCACAGAAGAAAACATATATGTTTATTCAGCCTTAAATTCACCTACTCAGGGTTGAGGCTATCAAAAATAGCTAGAAATGGTTTGAAAAACACCACAGTGGAATAAGCTTAATTTTTTCAAGTCATGAGTCCACAAGGTTTTGAAAATATGACCCCTTTGTGAATCATTTGTAGTTTCTAATCCTAATAACATGCAATAAAACAGCCACACAAACCAAATGTTTATCTCCTAAATCACTTTGAATCTTAATAGGAAATTTCCAAAGGTTGGAAAAAAATAAATCGAAGAAAGGTTTATTAATGTCAAAATTATTTTATTCATTTGGGTTTCTTTACCAAACACAGTAACTAGATTTCCCACTATGGTTTGTGTCCGCGCAGAAACAGGAACACGTGTCTGAAAACAATGTGATCACTTTAGCTTGTGGGAGTTGTAGTTAAATGAACCTATGCTCTCCATCTACAAAACCGATAGCAAACTACAAGTCCCAAATTTGACCATTCGGAAGTGACGTAACAAACACTGCTAGGCTGCAGCACACCGCGGTTGAGCAAACATGTCTCACGTTGGAAAAAAGAGAAAATTGGATAAAACCCGCCAGGATAGGCTTTATTTCGACAGCTATTCTGATGTTACAATTCACGAGGAAATGATTTCAGATCACGTCCGAACCAACACCTACCGAATGGCGATACTTCGGAACAGTGAGTCGATTCGGGGGAAAGTTGTGCTCGACGTTGGCGCAGGAACCGGCGTTTTGAGCATCTTCTGTGCTCAAGCTGGTGCTCATAAAGTCTACGCTGTTGAAGCCTGCTCAATAGCCGAGCAGGCTGTGGAAATTGTAAAGCAAAACAATTTGGAAGGCAAGGTGGAGGTCGTTCGAGGGACGGTGGAGACTGTGGACCTACCGGAGAAGGTAGATGTGATCGTGAGCGAGTGGATGGGCTACGCTCTCCTGCACGAGTCTATGCTCAATTCCGTGCTCTACGCTCGCGATAAGTGGCTCAAGCCCGGGGGTGTCATTCTGCCGAGTAAAGCGGAACTTTACATTGCGCCAATCTGTGACCCGGTGGCGGAGGACCGTCTGCATTTCTGGTACACCGTTAAGGACAAGTACGGCATCGACATGTCCTGTATGTACGACTTCGCCCGGAAATGTGTTATGAACTCTGACATTACAGTGAACACGGTGACGGTGGAGGACGTGCTCTCCCACCCGGCCCGCTTCGCCGAAATCGACTTGTATTCCGTCACTGCGGAAGAGCTGCGGTCGGTGAAGGGCCAGTTCAGGTGCGAGTCTTTCGGCTCGGCGGCAGTCAACGCGTTCTGTGTTTACTTCACGGTCACTTTCCCCAGCCCGGATAAAGCGCCGCCGCTCGTGCTTTCCACATCCCCATTCAAACCGGAGACCCACTGGAAACAAGCGGTGCTTTATCTCGGCGACGCGGTAGAAGTCGTGCAGGACACCCCGGTTACCGGAGAGGTTTGCATGTATCCCTCCGAGGAAAGCACCAGACATATATGTATCCACGTGGATTACACCATAGGACAAGAAAAAAGACAATCCAAGAATTTTTCCATTCCTGACTGGAGCGCCGAGACTCAGCAGTAGTATGGTTGCAAAATGATGTGATAGTTCACCTATCGCTCCTGAATTCAATTCTTTTATCATGACATTAAGGAAATAGAGTGCCCGCTATGTTTTTGATTGGCCTTGTGTATTTTTGATCTTTTTTAAAAGGTCAAATGACATGAAATTTTGCCTCCAAATCCATGCCGAGCTGCTGTTCATCTACTGTCATATGTAGTGGCAAAAGGGTCTATTATTTACAGCTATTTCTTTTGGCTGAAGTCTAAGTATTTTTTTTTATATACTCAAATGAAAGCATTGTTACAATATAATGTGAACTGTCACTTCCAGTTTTGAGTTTGTGTTGTTTTTAATGCCTGTTTTAGCACCTAATAAATGGTTGGCAGATGAAAAATTTGAACCGCTTGTTGTGTAATTACTGCTTTTATTTTTTAGGATTTTTCATCATTTGATACCAAATAGCTGCAATACTATACAGGTACTTAGTCTGGTCTGGAAATTAATAGACGATTAGGTAAAACTTCCATAAATCAAAGATTTGGGTGTTGGTTATTGAAAGTAAATCAAAGAGAGATCAAAACAGTAGGTTGCTGAAATCAGAATAGATTTGTCACAAGATGGAAATACAGACATCGGAAGCAGGTTTTGGCACACAAAATGCTGCACTCAAGGAGTGTTTGGCCATTTTGAGTCTAAATGAAGTTATACCACCATCAGGCATCACTTAAAATACCAAAGTTACATTTTCATGATAAAGAGTCAACGCTGCGTTAATTTCAACTTGACACATGGGATAAAGTCGTTATACAGGAAGTAACTCATGATGATTCTGATAGGTATCTTAAAAGGTGTTTGATTAAAGTTTAACTTCAGAGAGAGTTAGGAGTGAGCACCATCTGTGTGCCTGAGCAAATGGGAATGAGATGGAGAAAATGTAACAATCGTAATCAGTGTAAAACACTAAGCAGCAGTAGTAGTGCAGTTATTCCACCATAATTAATAGAGATGTATCAATATGTTGCCATGGTTAGATATCCAGGTTTAAGTTTGTCATTGAATTACAATTTTTTTTTAATTAAATTTGATTTTTCATGAACACTTGTCTTATTACATTTATTTATTATAGATTTAAACATGAGGATATATTTCGATTGGTAATAAGGTCTCACACATACATTTATCAAAGCATAAGTTAAAAGAAAGTGTAAATATAACAATATTGCAAATGTCCTGAGATATCTTGCCTGTGAAACTGAAAAAAAAAGCACTTTACTTTAAGGCTCAGACCAAAGTTGTAATGTTAAAAAAACCAGTGTTACGCTATGTCTGTAGTGTTTATATATATATATATTTTTTCTGACAGGATATTGTATGTAAAACTAAGGACATGTTGATTCAACCTTTCTATAAAAGTCAATGCCATAGGCCTATATATTTTTTCTGCACTGTCAGATTATTTTCAATCTTTTTACAGGATTTTTAATAACATGAATTTTGTGTGAATCGTATTAATCAAGTGTCATCATCAGTCACAAGTTTCTTGTATTTTAATGATGCAACGGCAAGATAAATGCACTTGGACCAAGACCTCTGCTTCTGCTGATGAATCTCTCCCTATCACGCGCTCTGAAATATGGCTGTTGCCGTCATCTAAACCATTTGGAACCCACTCCCCTCTGAACATGTTCGAAAAAGGATCACAATATGAGGTGTTCGCGATATAGGATTATTGTCGACTGGTTGGGGAGAATGTGAGTAATGCCTGAATACTATTCCAAGATAGAGTTATGTGATACCTTAATGAGGAGTGGTCCAAATTCCCCAATAACCAACAAATGGCTAGATACAAATGAGAAATGTGGATGAAAAAAATAATCATTTCATATGGGTGACTTCCATTTATATCCTAATGAATTTTGTCTTTGCTGTAGGTTTTAGATAGATCAGTGCATGCTTTCTAATCCTTCTCATAATTCATGATTTTACTCATTACTGAGTTCTTAGATTTCTGTGGCTGATCCAGTCTTACTTTGTAAACCTGCGGCTTTCTTTCCTTCAAACATCAACCTGTTGGTCTTTTTGTCTCATCCTCATATTATTTTAGCCGTCAAAAGACTCGGAGGAACTGAGTCTTGCTCAGCTCAGGAATGGGAATACGAGGTGAGCCTTTCAGTGAAACACTTTGTTGTGTGAGATGCCTTTATATTTATTTATTTCGGTCAGAAAAAAAATCGAATCTATAAACCTTTCACTAAAAATGAGTCCCATGCTTCCTGCTAGCTGATGTTCATCTGCGGTGGCTCAATATCAAGGTACCTGGAAAGAAAGAAAAACCCTGTAGGTAGAACAAAGGAGGGTGTCCAGAGAATGGAAATGTCAAATGCTGTGAAGGCAGCCACCGTCAAGCCAAGCTATGTCCAGAATCACGCTTTCGCATGCATGGCCACTCTCTGCTGGTAGATGCTAAACTAATTGTGATCCATTCCTGCCTGAAATGATTCGGGGAACATTAGAAACAAGTGTTGAGACTTGAAATGGGATTATTTGTGTTGTATGGCACAGCAATTTAAAAGCTAATCAATAGACAATGTGCCTAATCTAACCCAATTCAAGACTTGTTCACTGGAGGTGCTGGTGAAGAAGGCAAGGGCGACAGCAGAGTGCAGAACTCACTGAACAGGAAACAGCGTGTGCAGCTTTCTATCGATTTCTTGTTTTAAATTAGGAAATATTGCAACAAAATATATCACATATTTTCTGCACCCTCTGTGTAAATACATAACTTTACTGTTGCCTTCTATTTTGTGTTTTACGTTTCTTCTTTGTCATTCTCATAGAAGGCCACCCTGTACTGTCCTCTCAACCTTTGACAGGACTATAGGCTTATGCCCCCTTTTCACGGGGAAACAGTCTCTTAAAAAGCAACTTTTCCTCCCCACTGCGTCCAGCCATTCAACTTGTGGAAACATTTTGATTTTATTTTTTGGGGTTAAAAAAGGATAAACAAACATTTAGTTTACTCATGCTGGTGTGTTTTGATTTAGCACATTCAAAAGTTTGTCCTCTTTTTGGATATATTAATATAGATAGCTGTTTGCACTCTCTTTAATTAGATTTGTTTTGAACTTCAAGCTAAGTTTTTCCGACCCAAGCCGTTTATTTTTCACTTACTGTTTGCTGAGTGGAGCAATGTAAAAAAGGAATTGTTGGTGTCCAGCTGGAATAAATAAGTTAAAATGACTGTAGAAGATCATGCGTGAAGGGATTTGAATCAGCAATCCATCAGAAAACCCGTAAAGAGATTACTGATAGATTTTCATATAGAACATTTTCACATGGCAACGGCCTTGGAAACATATGAAATTTGACAGGAGATGTGTTTCAGTAGAGACCTGAAGAAGAGTGAGAGTTGAAATTTTTCCAGCGTTTGACATGAAATTCTATAGGTTTTTCTCTTTCATTACTTAAGAGCTTTATGTTTTCCTTCATATGCCTTTTAAAGAACATGCCAGTTGCTTGCAGAATAAAGTCATCAATGAGTATAATTTTCTACCGTTTGATAAAATAACAAGTTTTAAATGTGCATACAAAACTGACATGTATTATTTCTCACGTCCTGGCATGGTTTTCACATAATGTAAGAAAATAACAGAGGTCGCCGGTATGAGGTTCAATGTTACAATAATGGCAAATTTGTCCATGAGCTTACAGCCTTCAGACAGATGTGAACACAGCGTGCAGCTATGAACATCTCCTTCAACCACAGCCTGAATCCTTTTTCAGTTTGTTTCACAAGGCTCCTGTTGCCCACTGTTCTGAGGGTTTTTTAAGATGATAAATTCCTTGACACCAATGTGAACAACACTCACACTTAAAAGTAGTAGTTCTGCAGAATGACGGAGCGATTTAGAAGCAATATGTTAGTGCAATTCTGACCAGATCATAGAAACAAGCTAAGTTAAACTATGTCAAATTAAGTTAAGTGAAAATTCACATTATTTGCTGCCACAGGGGGACTACAAACATATGAAGAAACCATTCCAATCAAAGGCTGTGTTGGAATATTAATAATTAAAAATAACTCTTTTCAATCCCTACAAACATTTTGTTTCTGGTCATCTTTTTAGTTACCAGATTAACTTTCATATCAAATATCCTTACCCTCAACCAACAGATAAAACAGGAGCTGGCTGATAATGCTTGTTTGTTTTTTTGTTTGTTTACTTTTACTGGACTTTGGTTGCACACAATATCTAATTCTGGCCTTCCAATTATTCTTGTTTGGTAATCATACCAAGATCAAGCTTATGGGATTCAATTCCCTCTCTCAGTTACTGTAACCAATATTTCTGTCACCGTATCCTGTGAGGACAAATTAGGAAAATGTTATTGACGAAAAGCTAATTTGGTGGAACAGCAACCATTTGTCATAATCATCATTAGAGACAGGAACTGACCCATGTGCCTCCTGCTAAACCCCAAAATAACTGCCCCAGTGTACTGTTTGTTAGTTTATATTTGTTCCCCGACAGTAATAAAAGCGTACACTTATTCAAATGAGAAACTGTATTTATTCTACCCCTGAGCTGAAAATCTCAGCCAAGGAAATCCACTGCCTATCAGAAAAGCATCCAGCTGAAACCACTGAGGCGTGACTTCATGGGCGAACACACGCAAACACACACACGCAAACACACAACAAGGACAGATCTGGACGATGGCTGTTAAGAAAGTAAATCCTAAATCTCTCGCAGAAGCACGTAAATCTGAACGGGATGGCCCTGATTCACAATCAGCCCAAGGCAGACGGTTCTCAGCCTGTGAGCAAAGTCAAAATCCACAAAACTGTGCAGCTGCGTCTATCCCCCTCCTCCCCACCCCCCACTAATCCGTTTTCAATCATGCACTTTTTGGATTACACCTCTATGTAATTCTTCTCAGGTATTGTTTTAAAAGTTAATATTACATTTCAATTTAGGCGAGTTGGGTTATGGGTTTAGGACACAGTGCAGGATTGGATA